ATCCTGTTATCTTCTGAGCTTGGCCAAGAATGAAGCCAATAGAGAGGAAGGAGAGGAAGAGAAAGTGACAGTGAGAAGATAAGATACAGGGAAGGAGGGTGGAGAACAGAGGAGGAGGAAGAGGGAGGGGGAGAAGGGGAAAGAGAACAAATGAAGTTAAGGAAGATGAGGGAGAGGAGCTGTTTTGCATACTTATCAAAAACAACTCTCTGGGTCTTTGGTGTCTTAGGATCTCAATTGGTCCTCAGAAAAATCTGTGTACAAAGTTGTTGTAGAAAACCCAGTGGGGTCCCAGATAGAATAAAAATTCCTCACTCTCCAACTGACGCCCTAAGTCTGTTTTCAAATATTGCTTTGTAAGTTTTCCACCGGCTACCAGGGTCAGCTTCACATTTACCTCCTGCTCAAGCCAAAGGCTTAGGTTTTATTTCAGGAAAGTCACAGGGCAGGCCAGCTGGAAGCAGATGGTCTGGGTGACATCTTGTGCCCTTTTCATTTGGATGGGCCCAACGCATCCATAATGAACTCCCAGGTGACAAGGGAGGTGACATCATCCAGGTGAGCACTTGCTGACGGGACAGGAACATTGTGACTTCAGAAGGGATGACTGCCCTGGTGACCTTGGATTTGACTACAGAATTCTTCCTGATCTCCTGTTGTGCCCCGACATGTTTGTATCTAAGTATAACTGCCACTGTAAAATATTTGAATTGAATAGATAAAAAGAAACAAAACTCAGAGAGACCAAATGACAAGACCACAGAGCATATTTCATTCCTCACCAGTGTGACTGTGCTGGCTAATATTAATTATTAATGTCACTGGATCTCCAGTGAACCGCTGGGCACACCTGTGAGAGATGCTCTTGGTTATGTTAATTAAGGTGGGAGGAGTCCTAAAAGTGGGCGGTACCATTCCCTGGGCTTGAGTTGCATAAAGAGGGGAAAAGCTAGGAGAACAAGAGCATTCATTACTCCCTGCTTCCTAACTGTAGGTGCAACATGTCCAGCTGCCTTGCGCTTCTGTTGCCTAGACTTCCGCAACATGGTGGACAGTACCCTGAAACAGTGAGCCCAACCAACCCTTTCTTCCTTAGGCCATTTTGGCGATGATATTTTACCACAGCAACAGAAAGTGAACCAAGTAGCCAAATGTCTGACAGAAACAAAGAAAGACAGGTTAATGGTGGCTCCTGGCTTCGGGGACTTCGGTCCACAGTCTCTTGGTCCCCCATGCTCGGGCAAAACATTATGGTGTTAGAAGTTATGGCAGAGGAGAGCTGATCACATCATAGCTGATTAGAAGCCCGGAGTGAGCCAGGAAGTGGCCAGAGATAATATACTCCCAAGGACCCAGCCCCGGTGACATACTTCCCTTTAGGTCACGTTACCTCAGGTATGATGTCCCAGACCACAAACTTTCCAGAACTCCCCAAACAGCATCACCATCTGGGGACCAGTGTTCATATTATGTGTCTAAGCCAGGTGGTGGTGGCGCATGCCTTTAATCCCAGCACTCGGGAGGCAGAGGTAGGCAGATTTCTGTGAGTTCGAAGCCATCCTGGTCTACAGAGTGAGTTTTAGAACAGCCAGGGCTACACAGAGCAGCTCTGTCTCAACAAACCAAAAACCAATAAATAAATGAATAAATAAATAATAAGAAAAATGTGACGTTCATGTTTAAGCCATATCACAGTCAGGACAGATCTGTAGCCGAGTACTCCAGAGATTGACCTTCCTTGACCTTTGCTCCTCTTTCATCAGATGGAGACTCGGGGCACAGAGAGGCTCAGCCATCTCTTCCCCAGAAACTACTTATTTCTCGGTGTCCTGGTTTCATCTCTGTTGCTGTGACACATGCCTGCAGGAAAAAGCGACTTAGGGAAGCAAGGGCCTGCTTTGGCTCCCAGTCCCCAGTTACAGGCCAGCGTTGTGAGGAAGTTTCAGGAGGCACTCGAAGCATCATATCTGCTATCGAGAGCAGAGAGAGAAAGTGCATGGGTCCTTGCTTGCCTGTTCTCAGCTAGCTTTCTTCTGTTTTATAGTTCAAGACTCCGTGCCCCAGGAACGATGCTGCTCACAGTGTCTGGGTCTTCTCCTACCAGTTGGCTTAGTTAAGACAATCCCCCGCAGACACCTGACTAGATAATCCCACACTGAGAATCTCCTCTCAGGCGACTATAGGTTGTGGCAAGTTGACAACTAAAAACTAACCAGGTGGGACAGATGTTTAGGAACGTGTACTTCTCTTAAGAACTACAGTTTGACCAGGCAGTGGTGATGCACACCTTTCATCCCAGCACATGGGAGGCAGAGACAGGTGGATCCCTGTGAGTTCGAGGCCATCCTGGTCTACAGAGTTCCAGGACAGCCAGGACTGTCACACAGAGAAACCTTGTCTCGAAAAACCAGAAAACAAAACCAAACCAAAAAAACCCTACAGTTTGGTTCCAGCACCCACATCAGGCAGCTGCCTGTAACTCCAGGGGACCAGATGACCTCTTCTGGCTTCCAAAAGCACTCTACTTATGTGCACACAGATACACACACAATTGGAGATGAAAATATTAAAAAAGCTAACCATTACACCCAGGCGGTGACTTTTGTTTCGCTTCCCCTCCTGTGCCTGTTGTCAGAATGTCTAGGGGAGTTCTGCAAGGTGGGACTCCAATGACAGAAAACAGAGAGCGGGGAACTTTTCCCGAGAGGATCACACAACCCTGCTGCTCTTCTCTACTTGGCTTCCAGACACCATTTGGTTCCACCAGCAGTGAGATAGAAAATGAAAAAGGACAATGGGATGCTACTTGAGAGGGAGATTTGGGAATGTCTCCAGCAAAGGACCTCTAGAGACAAATGAAGAAACCAGGGGACTGGGGAGATGGCTCGGTCAGAAAAGTTCATGGAGACCTGAATTACGATCCCCTAAGACCCATGGAAAATGCCAAGCACGACAGCACACATCTGTCATCCCGCTGCTGAGGAGAGACACGGCAGAATCTCTGGGGTTTGCTTGCCAGTCAGGGTAGCTGAGTGAACGGACTTCAGTTTCAGCAAGAGACTCTGCCCCAAAAATGAGGTGGATGGTCACAGGATGTCAATACCTCCACATACACACACGTGCATGCACAACTCCCCTCCACGCTCACATACACACATACAAAAATAATATTAATTAAAAAATTAATCAACCTCAAGAAGCCTCAGCATTGAGTATGTAATAAAACTTTGCTGATGGCTAAGTATGATATTTTAACGTAATTACCACATACCAGTTTCCTTCTATTCGTTAGACCAGCTGTTTTCCTCTAAAATACTTTTTTTTTTAGCTCTGTGTGTGTGTGTGTGCGCGCGCGCATGCAAGTTTGTGTGTATGTGTGTGTGGGTGTGTGTGTGATGCGAGCACGGGTGCCCTCAGAGTGCACAGGAAGGCCTTGGATCCACTGGAGATGAAGATACAGGCGGCTGTGATACACCTGCTGTGGGTGTTGGAACCCAACTTGGGGCCTTTGCAAGCACCATGTCTTCTTAGACACTGAGCCACCTCTCTAGCCCCCCAAACAGTTGGTTTTCAAAGCCTAAAACAGGGATAGACTTTTAGCTTCCCAGGACCTCTTGAGTGACTAGGAAATAAGCTTTGTGTTCCCCTCTTTTTTTTTTTTTTTTTCACGAGGCCAAGAAATGTTGACCCTCCCTGTGTCTCTTCTTGGAGTTCAGATGACTTGCTCCTTCTGATAGCCCTTTGGTCAGGTTGCTGAAAGGGCTCCATCCCTGAGCTCTTTCTGCTCGATGCAGCTGAGAAGCCCAGAGCTCATCCTTCCCAGGGATTCTGTGAAGCTGATGTAATTAGCCTGACATATGTAGATGAGGGAACACAGAGGAGCTACACAGCCTGCCCAAGGTCATTCAATTAGCCAATGGCAGATTCCGCGGGCTCCTTCCACCATCCCTGAAGCAGCTAGCCTCCAGTGAGCAACAGCAAATCTCCCCAAAGCCACAGAGCCGACTCCAGACTCAGAATGATCCCAGAAAGGACAAAGTCCATACAAGATCTTCTGAAACTGGAAGTCTGAGCCCTATACGGTGGGATGTGCAACAATCTGAGAGCTCTAGGGATTGAGACAGGACAATCTTGAGTTTGAATGAGTCTGAGTATAACCTAGGCTACATATGGAGACTATATATCACAAGAATGCCAGATAGCAGCAGCAGCAAGAACAAGAAAATCTAACAAAAAGGAGGAGGAGGAGGGAGAGGAAGAGGAGCAGGAGGAGAGGAAAGCAGGAGGGGCAAGAGAGGAGGGGAAAGGAGGAGAAGAAGGAGAAGATGAAGAGGAGGAGGAAGAGGAGGAGAAGGAGAAGGAGGAGGGGAAAGGAGGAGAAGGGGAAGGAAGAGGAGGAGGGGAATGGGAAGAAAGAAGAATAAAAAGGAGGAGGAAGAGGAGGAGGAGGAGGGAAAGAGGGACTAGAGCAATGGCTCCGTGTTGGCTTGAGGTGCCTGCTGTATAAGATGAGGACCCGAGTTTGATCCCTAGCAGTCACAGAAAGGCTGGCCGAGCACCACAGGTCTCTAACTTCAGCACTGGTGAGGCAGCGAGGGCTGGGCTCTAGGAAATCACTGGTCAGAGCCAACCACACTGAAACAGTGAGCTCCAGATTCAGTGAAAGACCCTGTCTCCCTAAACAAGAACTTGATAGCGGAAGGTGCCTGGCACCAACTTCTGGTCGCCACAGGAATGGGCGTTTGTATTCCATTCTCATGCACCTGCACACATGTGTGTACACGACCCCAAACATCTGCACACAAAAGGAAAAAGAAAGGAGGAAGAAGTGAAAACAAACCCATAAGGCAGAATTAGAGACACTGTATGTTCTCTGAGCTGCTCTGTTAACTTAGCCCTGATTTTTTAAACGTTGGGACAAGGCTGCTTTTTGTCCTGAAGATTGGTAACTATAGGGCATGTGGAGGCCCTGGGTGAGCAGCCCAGGCAGGTTCACCTACCTCCTTCAAACTCTGTCTGGCAATTCCCCGAGGTCTCGTTCAGACTCTCCTCCTCGTTGATAATGATGTTCTCGATGTCCTTCATCGTCAAGTGGTCCCGGAAGGCGTGGTACAGGATGTGCTTCAGCTCCTCCAGGGTGACCCTTTGCATATCAAACTGCAGAGATAAAGAACCAGAAGAGGGCTGTGAAAATGGGTGCAAACTCAGCTGGGGTACCATCAGCGTGCCCGGAAGCTCCCCAAGAAAATGAGTTTCGGGATACCAGATGAGCAGCATTCTGTCTGCTCGGCTCCCAGCATATGTGAGGTCTTACTGGGGACAGAGTGAGTGAAGTATAGCGTCCTTCATTTAGGAGACAAAGAGTAAAAGCTACTTGCTGGCTGGATTGATCATCGGCCAGCCATCTGCTGTCAACCCTCCGCATTTTAGGTACTATAGCGTGGTGCCATACTTTAGACGGCGCATATGTTTCTAACATCCTATCATTTCGCAGGAAACCAGCCATTCCCATCTTGAGTTTCCACTTTGGACAATGCATATGTTTCCATTTTTTTCATCATTTCCGAAGGAAGCAGCAATTCCGATTTTGCTTTAAAGTGTGAACTTAGACATGTCTGCTGGGGTTTGACTGTGAATTCCCTCCCCACCATCCCTCCAACAGCATTACGTGTTGGAAGTCTTGGTGCTATGGTGCTGAGGTAGGGGAAACTTTAAGAAGTGGGACATGGGGCTAGAGAGCTTGTTCTGTGTTAAGAACACTTTCTGCGTGTCCAGAGGACCTGAGTTTGGTTACTAGCATCTACGTTGGGCAACTCACCACTGTCTGCAACTCCAGCTAAAGGGAATCAGGTTCCTTCTCCTGGTCTCTGAGAGTGCATGCTCACACATGGTACACATGCATATATTCAGGACCACATACATACACAGATAATAAAGACTGGATTTTTTTTTTTAAAAAAAGAGGTGGGACTTGGTGGCTGGTTAGGTCACTGAAGGGTGCCTCAGTTCCAAGCTAGGTCTCAGGGTTTTTTTTTTCTGTGTGTGTGTGTGTGTGTGTGTGTGTGTGTGTGTGCATGGATGCACACAAGTGAGTCTATGTATGTGTATGCACACACATATATTCATGGGAGCACATTCATGTGGAGGTCTGATGTTGTCTGGAGTCATCCTCCACCGCTTTTCCACCTAACTCACTGAGGCAGGCTCTCTCAATCAAATTCAGAGCTTGCCAATAGGGCTAATCCCCCTAGCCAGCTTGCTAGATTCCCTGCCCCCACATCCCCAAGGCAGGATTACAGGTATGTATGCCACCATGCCAACTGAGCATCTCCCTGGGTACTAAGGCACTGGACACTGGTCTTCAGGCCTGCATGGTCAGGACTTTCACCACTGAGTTATCGCCCCAGCCCCACAAATATAACTGTTATAAAAGCCCGAGTCACTTTCTGACCTCCTGTCTTCCCATATGATCTCTCCTGCATGTGTTCCTGCCATTGTGATAATGTCTACCTCAAGGCCTTCATTAGGGGTAAGGGAGCGTCGGTACCCTGCTCTTGCCTTTCCAAAGCTAGAGCCTGCATCAGTGTCTCCTCTGCAAAAGGGATTCCACTAATGACCTAATACAGTAGAGTCGTTATTTTTCTCATTGCTATGACCGAACACCCGGCAAGGCGACATAAGGAAGCATTGGTTTATCTGAGTTCACAGTCCACCAAGGTGGGGGGAAGGCACGGGCAGCAGGAACTTGAGGCAGCCAGTCACTTTGCATCCAGAATCACAGAGAGAGGGATGCTGGTGCTCAGCTCACTCTCGCCTTCATATCCAGTCTCAGATCTCAGCCCATGGGATGGAGGGTGGATTCAGCTCCATCAGCGAACCTGACCTGGGAACTTCTTCCCAGACACGCACCAGAGGCTTATGTCCTGTGTGAGTCTGCATCCTATCGAGTCAACAGTCAAGATTAATTAACCATCACACAAATGGGGATAACGAGGGCCCATGGTTGAAATGAGTACCTACAACACTGAAAGCCAAGTCCTACACATTTTGCTCTCCTTCCTGTCTTTTCAAGCATTTAAAGAGCATGCACCTAGTTCTAGGAAATTAAACTGAGTTACTGAAACTTGTCGGGGAGGTCAAGATGATTCAAGTCGAAAGCCCTGCATGAGTCAGAGCAACAGATGGGCATTTGGACGTTGGATGTGTTTTCTGCATTATAGTTTAGCGACTTGTCACAAAACTAGGCGCGATGTCCCCCTTCACATTGGATAAACGAGGAAAGTAACCCATGTGCAGGAACGAGGCACAAAGAAGGCAGAGGAGAATAATTCTGATGCGGAAATGGGATCCTCCTGTCTTAGTTAGGCTTGACTGTCAACTTGACACAGCCTAGAGTCTCCTGAGAAAGGAGTCTCAAAGGGAGGCATGGTCCAGATCAGATCAGCTTGTGCAAATATTTATGGGGGACTGTCTTGACTGTTAATGGATGGTGTGTGTGTGCGTGCATGCATACACACACACACACACACACACACACACACGCACACACACACACACCACTGTGGGTGGTACCATTCCATGGATAGGTGGCTCTGGGGCTATGAGCAAGCTCAGATAAGCCCTTTCCTATCTAAGTTTTGGGTCAGAGTGATTTATCAGGGCAACAGAATAAAGTCAGAACAGCTCCTCTGCCATGGTCAGAGATGAGTAATGTTGACGTCAATCAGATTCTTTGGGGGAAGAAATGAGTCATTACTTCTTAGAAGACCAATGCAAGAGGTAGAGTGCTGCCTGGAAAAAAATTAGACTGCTTTTAAGAGCTTCCTGACATTCAAAAACTAGGCAAAAAGATTGACCAGAGGCTAGGAGATGGGAAATAAAGATACAGGTTCCCTGGCTCCACTGTTTGGTCTGAGTCTTATAATCATTAGAAAATAATGTGGCATGCTGGGCAGTGACGGCATGTGCCTTTAATACCAGCACTTGGGAGGTAGAAGCAGGCAGGTTTCTGAGTTCAAAGATAGCTAAGGCGGCAGAGAGAAGCCTTGTCTAGAAAAACAAGACAAACAAAATACACTGTGGCTTGTAAAACAAATGGTCCTCAGCAGCAATGGGTAGAAGACTTGGTATCCAGCTGCTGGTGATGTTGAGAGGAGACTGGACATGAAGGCGTTGACTTCATCAATGGATTAATCTATTAATGAGACCATAGCTGAATGGATCCTGTAATGTGAGGTGTGTTTCTGTATATGTGTTGCTTTTATTGGTTGATGAATAAACCAATAAAATATTTGGCCTAGGGCAGAATATAGCCAGACTGGAAGAGATAGAGAGAGAGAGTAGGTGAAGTCAAGGAGATGCCATGTAGCTGCTGAATGAAACAGACATTCAGCAGCTACAGAAACTTTGCAGTAAGCCACAGCCTCAAGGCGATACACAGATTAATAGAAATGGATTAATTTAAGATGTAAGAGTTCGCTAGAAATATGCCTGAGTCATCAGTCAAACAGTGTTGTGATTAAAATAAAAGCAACTGCTGAACTTTCCAAAAGATGGGACAGTCCTTCAGGGTTCCTGATTCACAGAAGAAACTGCCAGACATTCTGCAAGATACAGAAGAAAGCAACTGATAAACTTTACAAGGTAGAATAGATCTTCAAATTTCCTGCTTCATGGAAAAGTCTGCAGGATACTATGGGCCCATAGGCTGAAGATGGATACCCCAACATTACAGAAGACTGTGGAGAATTGCCCAGGCAGTAAGATGTCTCTGTCAATTCTAAAACTTTGGAAGTTGCTTACATTGTACTTCCTGTTTACTCAAGTAATATTATTTCCCTTCTCAGGTCTTTGATGGGGTTGAAGACTAAATAGCCATAGTTACTTTCCTCTCATGACTTAGTCAAGTCATTTTTAATATAAGACTTAGACTCCTTAGAATAGGATACTAGAATATAGTTCTTGCTTGATGTTATTCATACTGGCTGTAGTTCTAATTTTATGTATGTTTTGGCCTCTTCTTTCCCTTGGGCAATACTTTATATTTGTTCTTTTTTAAAAAAATTATTTATTTTATGTACATGAGTGACGTGTCTTCATGCATACCAGAAAAGGGAATCATGTCCCATTATAGATGGTTGTGAGTCACCATGTGGTTGCTGGGAATTGAACTCAGGGCCTCTGGAAGAGCAGTCAGTAGTATTCTTAACTATTGAGATATTTCTCAAGCCCCTTTTTGTTCTTATTGTATATAGTTTCTATTAAGCTTAGAACTCTCTTATTTAGACAAAAGGGGAGGTGCTGTAGGGATTCCTTCAGCCAATAGCCTTTAAGATACCAGCCCACTTTGAGTGTGGTCTCCTGTACTAGAAATGCAGACAAAAAGCGTGTGTGGCCCTCTTGGCTGCTGGATCGGCTTCCAGTTCCCAGTGCATTCAGAGGACTGCAGGTCGCTACCCCTTCTGTGAGTTTATCCCCAGATAAATAAACCTTTGCTATACTCCGTTCTGGCCTATTGTGGAGCTCTTTTGTATGCCAACAGCCCTGCTTGGTGAGTCCCTGGAAGTGTGTATTTCAAGACTTGAGAGTCTTCTTCTGTGAGTTTCTGTCTTTCTCTGTATTTTCTTCTTTAAGTCTCTGTGCCCCCCTCTCTCCCCATTCCCCCCTTTCCATCTCTATCTTTATTTCATGTTCTCTCTGTGTGTCTATGTTTACCGTTGTTTCTCTGTCTCTGACTGTCTCTCATCTCTTACTCTCTCTCTCTCTTTTCTCTTTCTCTCCTGGCCACCATGAGGTGGGCAATATCCATCTGCCACTCTCCTCCAACTTCATCCCAAGCTCATGTTAACAGACTCAGGGGATCATGAACTGAAACCCTTTCAACCTCAAGCTCAGACAGACTCTCCTCCTTACAATAGTGTCTCTTGACTATTTTGTCACAGTGACACATGCCTGTCTAACATAGGGTACGAACACCGAAACATACCTGGCAGAGCAACTTCCCATATTTCATCTATATTGGCAGGGTACCTCTCATCTCTTAATTTTTTTTTCTTTTAACAAACTTTAAAAAGTTTATAGAACAGGAACATGGCACCAAGAGGTACTTCTCCCATGATGACCCATCACTTCAGTTTTCATATTTTTCTTGAGTTACT